CTTTCTCTGGAAATGGATTTTTGCCTTTGCTTCTGTTTGTTCCGCTCCTCATCCTCAATATCCATAAATTAAATAATTACTTATAAAAACGCGTAAAATATTAAAAATCCGATAAGAAAATATATATAATAAAACTATTCGATAAATAGCAGTTAGTTTTATATTAGTTTAAAACTATATATACGTAAATATATTTTATGTTATTTTTAATTTTTTATATTTTTGAGCTCAATATTTTTTCCGATACAACTGTTTACTTCGATTGAACTTCTAATAATGATGTTACCAGTTTACTTTTTCAAAATTTTTTTTACTAAGTATGCTCGTGCATGTCCATGCAAACATAAGTTCCAACAACACTGCTAATTCACATATATGTGTACATACATACAACATTTGTATGTAATTAAGTCATTTCCTCACTTCTCACAAACATTGTAACCCGGTCCGTGTCTGCCACGTCTAACTGGGCGCTACGATAGAAAGAAAACAGAGAGATTATAACGAGCACTCAATTCAAGCATACTTATGCGTGGTTTTTACACTCACACTGAAAATGGCTTTCCCAGCATTGCCTTCAATGGGTCAATAATATCACCTTCATAGCCGTCTAGCGATAGCAGTCTATAGTCATTACTTGCGTCAGCTACAGCAAATGAGCGGTAATGCATGAAGTGTTTAACAGACTCCCGCACCATCCGCTCACCATACTGTTGATCGTGTGTTAATATCAGCAATTCATGCGCTCCCTTACTTGCTGTTATAGCATGCAAATGTTCCAAGCCAATAAAGTAGTCACTCGCGCTGTCGCCGCGCTCCCAGTTCTTATATCCATTAATCTGTTCATATTGATTTTTTTCGTTCAAACGCTTTCGATGCCTTGCATCCAAACTAGCAATCAATTTCCAACCATGTCCATAGTACTTACGCTCACAATCAATCAAGTATAACGGCATATCAGCGTTGATTTGGATTTTTTCTTTACCGTTGCAATCAAAGCGCGAACTTCGCATATCATCTGAATTAT